AATTACTTTCGAAAAAACTCTTCATCTCTACCCCTATAAACTGTGGGCCATTATCCGACACCACTTCCTCTGGTAACCCATACGCTGAAAACAATCTTCTTAACTGCTCAATTGTCTTTCTTGAGGTGATCTCTCTCATCGGGACCGCCTCGAACTATTTTGATTGGCTATCCACCACGATTAACAAATTCACACCATCTTCAAATTCAAAATCCATATGGATCCGTTGCCAGGGCCTGGTTGCCCACATCTACGGTCTCCAGTTTACTTTACTTGGGCCGGTCTGAGTTTGTTGGCAATTTTTACACCCATTTGCCATACATTCAATCTGGTTGTCAAGATTCGGCCACCAAAAATGCGACCTAGCAACAGCCTTCATTTTGCTCATCCCCGAATGGGTCTCGTGTAGGCAACTCAACATATATTTCCTAAGAGAAGACGGAATGATCACTCGCATTCCCCCCACAATAAGCATTCCCCGTCCATAGTTAACTCCAACTTTCTCTGAAAGTAGGGCTTGAGGTGTTCTCCCACTCTCTCAGGCCAGCCTTGCTGCGTATAACGTTTGACAACTGACAATACTTCATCTATTTCTTCTGCTGTAACCGGCAAATCTTCCACGTATGATAATATGAATGTTTGATTCAAAACCGGTTTTTCGTCACTCTCTACAGGCAACAGTGAGAGGAGGTCTGCATTTCCATGATCTTGAATTCTTCGGAACTTAATTTCATATGTATAAACCGCCCCCCAAAGTCAGTCCCCATCTCTGCAATCTTGAAGTAGAAAAAGTGGGAATCCCTGCTCTCGGGCCCAAAATAGACACCAAGGGTTTATGATCTGTAATCAGGGTAAATCGTCTTCCATAGATGAACTGGTGAAACTTGGTCACACCATATATTATTGCGAGAGCTTCTCTTTCTATTTGTGAATAATTACGTTCGGCCCCGAAAAGTGTTCGTGAGGCAAACATGATTGGTTTCTCTTGGCTCGATAACATGAGACAGCACCGCCCCCACTCCAATCTGAGATGCGTCCGTGGCCAAAGATAAAGGCAACGTGGCATCATATGGCACCAAAACTTTCTTGGAGGTAATTCTTTTTTTTACACTCCGAGATCGCCTCATCACACTCCTTTGTCCACTTCCAACAACTATTATTTTTCAGCAGCTTGTGAAGTGGCTCCAACAGCTCAGGCAATTTCGGAATAAACTTTCCATAATAGTTCACCAGTCCCAGAAAAGATCTCAATTCCGAGACATTTGTCGGGCTTTTGGCTTTCTCTATTCCTTGAATTTTGTCATTCAAAGGCCGAATACCATCTTCTTTGATGAGATGTCCCAAATACTCTATTTCTCTTCGAAGAAATTCACATTTTTTCCCTTTTCAATTTTATGTTGTGCTTCTGCAACCGAACAAAAATAGTTTTTAATACCGCTACATGTTCCTCTACTGACGCCGTGGTTACAAGTACATCGTCAATGTAACAAATAACCCCATTAATTCCCGCCAATATTCTATCCATAACCGACTGAAAAAAACTAGGGGCATTTGCCAATCCAAAAGGCATCCTTTTAAACCTAAAAAGTCCCTCATGCGTATTAATAGTCAGGAGTGGCTGGGTGCTAGGGTCTACCTCCAATTGAAGGTATGCATTGCTCAAATCTAGTTTAGAGAAATACTTCCCTCTGGCCAAGACGGAAAACAGGTCCTGCTGAGTAGGTAGTGGATAGGCCGCAGTATACAAGAACCTATTTAAAGTTACTTTGAAATCACAACAAATCCTAAACTCTTTATTCTTCTTGGGCACAACCACCACTGGAGCTGCCCACTTGCTGCTTGATACAAGTAGCCCTTCTCCACCATTCTTTCTAATACCTCGTTTACCGCCGTTCTAATCGCAAAGGGCTCTGGTCGGCCCTTATGAAATATATGGTTTACATCCTGAATATTAACTGCAAATGTGAATCCCTTTATTGGATCTGTTGTCTCCCCAAACACAACCTTGTGTTTTCTCAATAATTCCGCCAACGTGTCCTCCAAAGGCATCTGATTTACAAAATAATTTCCAATCCTTATATATATAAAAATGAAATGCGAAATCGATGTTTGTTATCGCATCACGCAAAATCTACTGACTCAATCATTATGGAATTTCGCATGTAGGTAGCTGAAGATTTCGTTTAACATATAGGCTATTCAAAAAACTAAAAAAGTTAATGTGCTTTTTTTAAAAAATAAAAAACTAAAAAGCGTTAGTTCCAGTCTTTTACCGCTAGGGCGCAGCACTGGTCGCGACGATAAATGAATTTGATTTTTTTAAAGCATCGGTGGTTCAGTGGTAGAATGCTCGCCTGCCACGCGGGCGGCCAGGGTTCGATTCCCGGCCGATGCATTTTTTTTTAACAATTTTTAAAACTCATTTATATTATATCTTCTATATAAATGGAAATTTCATAAGTGGTGTTCGCTAAAAACTTTCGTTACAATGCATCAATTTCGACCAAATTTTCAACATTTATGTAAAACGAGATGGAGCAGGTTTTGCTTAACATCAAAATATTTTTCCTAACTTTAAAATACATAACTTTGCTGTTATCGATAAAATACAAAAAAAAAATTCAACAGAGTTAATTTTATTTATATATAAATACAAAAAAAAATTCAGCAATTCATTCAACTCAATCTAAAAAAATATTCAAAACAAGCAATTTTAAGATAACACCATATGTAAAACAGTCGGCCAAGAAAACAACAACGATATTACATCTTTCTCACATATTCACACACAATCTTGATTAATAATTAAAACTAATCTTTAGCATTGTTTATTATACTTCATAATATATAATATTCGTTAGGCAAACTTTCACTCGGATAAAACCCGGGCGAAGCCGGGTACACATCCGCTAGTTTTCAATACATTGATCCATTCTCTCCCCAACAAGGCCTTCCTTTCTCCTCTCACCACGACAGCTCTAAGCCTAGCGATTGTTCCCCGAAAATCGACCTTGACATCTATTTCACCCAGATTCGGTACCACAGTTTCGTCATGGGTCTTAACAATTATTCCCGCATCTTTTACCTGCACGTCTGGGATATATCTCTTGAAATTCTTCTCCGATATTAAAGTCAGACTGCTACCTGAATCGATTTCAAAAGTCATCCAAGTATCCTCTACTCTCACCTTAATCACATAGGGAGGGTCATTCGTAGCATACTTGACTCTATAATCATGCGTCCTCATGAAGACCATTCTTCGGATGGATTCTTCCTCCTCCTCCTCTTGATCCTCAATCCGATGAATCTTTCTCTGGTTCATAAACCGGCTCACCTGTCTTCCGCTTGTATGTTCCTCACGGCTCCTGCAGATGGTTGCAATGTGGCCTCTTTTCCCGCATCTGAAACAGGTCGCCTCTCTAAATCTACATAAGTCTTTATGTAACCTCCCGCAATGTATGCACTTTCTCTTTTGCTCTCTATCATATCTATTCCTGACTTCTGCGCGTATTTTGTCCACGCTATCTGCAGGCTCATCGAAATGGAAAATTTTGGTATTTTTCTCTGCTGCCTCCATCGACAACGCAATTTCAACTTCCTTTGCCAACTACACATCTCCTTCAGACAAGATCCTCCTCTGAATTTTTGCATTTCTCAGTCCGCACTCTAATTTGTCTCTTAAAGATTCCTTCAAAAATTCGCCAAATCCACAAGTTGAGGCTAGCCGTTTAATGCATATAAATGACACATCAGGTTATGACCAAGAATTTATTCTATGAAATCATATCACTTACACCTCTCTCTTTGTTTGGAATGTTTTAGACAAATTTGAATAATTCGAGTATTTAAGACATACCTTGTATATATGAATGAGAAACTCGATAGATTTGATATCCTACGCAACAAAATGTTGGTTATTGATATATAGAAGAATTAATATAAACTAAATGTTTTTTTTAAATTGGTGTCAACCTTTTTTTTTTTTTTTTTGAATTAGGAAAAGACAATCTTCGTGATATTCTTCAGTTATTGAAGATTTTACTTACAAATGCTAACTACTTTTATCTTTACACTTATTATATTACGATGCATTAGCGCGCCATCTGTTATAAAAAATCGAAACTATTATAGACGGGTATGATTCTTTTCAAAATAAAACAATTTTTACTTCCTTTACTGCAATGGAAAAATTAATAGGAGGGCCTGGATCATCAGTGGTGAACCCTAATAGTGTTTTTTTTGCCAGTTTAATCTACCATTCAGATGTTATATTACATTTTTCGATTATTATATCTTCACAAAATTATCTTTTAGCTTATCCATTTCATATTTCGAAAAATAGTCGGCTGTATATAATTAAATTGGGGCCATCGTACATATGTACAAAGGCTAAAAATAATTCAGCGACAAATGTGCAAGTCGCTTTATCAAATCAATATTTTGAAATATATTATCAAAATCTTCAATTAAGGATAATTACGAATGGTTTTGATAAGCGAACAACATCCAGGAAATCTTAAATCTACATTATTATATTTAGTTAAATCTTTAGTAATGTGCTAAAAAAGAAGTTTTTCATTAATACCTTCTAGCCCTACCCGAACTTTATATTCTCGTATATTATGCCAGTTCTATATTTGTACTTGATATTTAGATGCAAATGATATTTTAATTGAATTAAATAATTATGAATATATTTTCAGAGTTTCTTTTATTCAGAAATTGGTAGGTAAGCTTTCACGTGGTCGCGTTTCATCAGGCCAATTGTTCAGCAAAGGCGTGCAACATAGAGAGAGATATTTATAACCCATGTTCTAGGAGCGACACACATGCAACAAACATATAATAGTAAAACGAAATTTGACAATTATACCGCAAATGTTTCTTTTGAACGAAAAATCGAAATTTATTCCAAGGAGAAATAATGATTATTTCTAACCTTAGGGATGAAGTATAATAGGATGAATTGTGAAGAGTAATGTTGAACGGAAAAATAAAGTGTCCAGGGATAGGAAACGAACCCAGTGTTCCGCTTACACGGCAGATGCCATGCCCACTAAGCTACCCTGGACATATTTGAGGTATAATTGTCAAATTTCGTTTTACAATCATAGGCCGCATTATATTGTAATATAAAATACCTATTATAGTCACTGAAATAAATTTTGAAATATTCAAATATAAAAATAGTTTTCAGTTGTTCTATATTTATTACACAAGGTATTATTTAATCGTTCTGGTGTGTTGGTGACAACATTGTTGAGACATATGGCAATTCCAACGTGAGCTGTGACAATGAGGCTCCGTTCCATAACGCCACCCCAGGCGTATGTTGACATCGCCGAGTTCAAATTCCTTCAGCCATGAAATAGTCCCGTAAATTTATGGCCCGGGCGGGTGCGATTAGAACGCGTCTCGCCATAAATCTCGGCGCGGTGACATCGTTCTGGAGGGAAATCCGTGAAATCATAAAATATTCAATTATTGATACAATCCTTTTTTTACTCCTCTGCTGCCTGTCTTCACCCAGCTCCTGGTAGTCAGAGTGAGATCATTGCCTTATTTAGAGATAAAGATGCTCTAAAAGATATTATTATACCAAGTCGAATATACAGTATAGGTTATATAAAAATAACCAAGTCGAATATATATGTTATATAAAAATATTATTTTATTTAAAATTATATTTCATAGATTCAAATATTCTGTTTATATCTACTATCAGATGTCGGGACTTTCCCTATATAAAACCGATTGTTGTTGTTTCCCGATGGCCGGCTCAAAAATCATTCATTTTAGTTAGCAGCCCCGTAAATAAATATATTTCCGTTTCTCGATGGCCGTCTCAAACCGTTTTTAAATTATGTAAATAAGTTTTTTATTTTTTAGATTCTTACGCTTAAAGCCAGGTAGTACTTTATCAAATTATGTTTTAATATATATTCCTCTAGCTCAATTAAAGCTATTTTTGATAACTAATTTTATTTAATTATTGCAACGACTGCAAAACAATATCAAAATGATACTCATGTACTAAAAAAATAATTAGAAAATAATATTCCAAAGTCAACAACAGAAATCATTCTTATATGATATATATATATATATATATGTTATATTAAAATATTGTTCTATTTAAAATTATATTTCATAGATCCAAATAATCTGTTAAATCGACCGCCAGAGGTCATGCTTCCCCTATAAAAACTCGTTCTTCTTCTTTCCCAATGGCCGGTTCAAAACCTTCGTACATTATGTAAATAACTTGTTCATTTTTTAGATTCTTACGCCTTAAGCCAGGCAGTACTTTTATCAAATTATGTTTATGTATATTCCTTAGAGCTCAAATAAATAAATCTCAGATCTTCAATATTATTATTATTATTCTTTCAAGATTGTTAACCACGACTGCATTACCATAATCCTCAACACGATCTAAATTCAAGCAGAAAATCTCATTCATTTTTATATAACATATATATATATAATATATTTGAAAGTTTTAACTAAATTTTAGGATGCTTTCCTCATTTCTCTGAGAGAAAGAATTATATTTACAGACATTAATTATACTAGAGGAATGGACCACAGCTTTTATCTCGGATTTTAACAATTGGAATATTTGTCTAACTAACATTGATTTTAAGAAAAAAGGGAGTTATTGTAATTAATTATTGTTATATATAGTATAAAGCGTAGTATATTAATTATATGAATTTCCTAATATATATTTTCTCATAATTATTCTTTATATATTGCTTTTTTCTCTCTCTGATAGTAAAAAATGTATATAGTCTAAATGTTTTTAATTTAGTATCATTATTAGTATATAGAAGCAAAAACAGCTATATGCAATATTACAGCGGTATGGTAGGTTGAAACTGGTGGAAGAGTTTACCATTGATGAACCAGGACATATCATCAATTTTTCATTACAGTAAGGGAGTAGGGGCCATGCTAATCTTCTCTGTATCGTTCCAATTTTAGTATATGTACCGCCGAACAAGCGTGTAGGTAGTACAGTAAGGGAGTAGAAAAGTGTTTTATATTAAACAGAAATATACGTGTCAAAAACAGTTTGAATTTTTTTAACATAGGCGCATTAATGTATCAATGAAAAATATCTTTGTTTGAAAAGCAATTTTCAATTTTTTTTTTTAATTCTCCTTTTTTTGTCCCAAAAATTTCACCTAAATTTATAAATATCTGATTTGAATTTTCAAATCTTCCGTTCAATATATGATAAGTGAATGTTTAATGTGTAATTTATTTTTGATATCATGTTCCATACACCTCCTAGATATATTTTAAAGCTCAATTATTAACCATTACTTCACTATAAAGTATTTTGAATGTTTTGGTTTATATTGTGGCGAAGATATATTTTATTATTTAATTTAATTATTCAATGAAATATGTGAAACAGATTTATATTAATTAATATTTGTAAAATCATTATTTAGTTACCTAGCTTGCTTGCTCGATATTCTCTAGCTGTAGATAGTTTTGTGTTAATTTGTTAATAATTGTCGACTAGTTGCTGTGACGTTATCAATAAATACTTTCACACCTTCAGATATACAAAGACTTGATTTCTACGCTACAAAATGAATATTTTAATCTGATTCACATAGAGGTAGCAGTTTCTACACTATCATGGTACATTTCCAATAATCATTGCTGTATAGGCTATATAGATATACTATAAAGCTATCTGGCTTAACTACATCTGAAAAGGCTTATGTGTAAACAAGTCTATATCCTTTTGTCTATATGAAAATCTACCCAGCTTTTATCATATATATCTTGTTTATAAAGTCTCTTTCAGAATATTCGGTTATAAAGAGAGAAATAGATATACTTACTTTAAATTGGCTTAATTCCTCCAGAAAAAGGAAAAAGGTTCCATACATGATATGTTCCGGTCTATTTCAGCATAGTTTCATGCATCCTGTTGTAATAAGTCATATATTTGGTCTTTTAAAATACCTTGAGGATAGTAAATCTTGGATTGACCAGAATTGACTTGGATTGTATAGCTCCTGGAAGAATAGTTGAATTATTGATCATGCTATTTTCCAATTAATCATTTAATAAAGGCGCATGATATCATCCTGTTATAAATTCATGTATCGGATCATGTTGATGTTGAATTGGTGATAAATCTTCTTCCTTATTCATCTCTTCAGTTTCAGACGAATGAAAAGTTCCTTTAATTTAGACAGCAAAGAACTTAACAAAGCTAGGTTAAGTAATAGGAAAATATTCGGGAATTGCAGATTCTATATCCATTTTTTTCATCTTGAATGAGTATCCCAAAAGAATATCAGAACAAAATATCAGGGTGATTTTATCATAATTTTCTTTTTGTGATTGAGAGTCCTCATTTCTGATAAACAACGAAGAGGTTTAAGAGTCTTATTGTTTTCTTTTCGATAAATTGTTCCCTTAGTAAGAAACATTGTCAATCTTTAGATATAGTTATATTTAGTATTCATAACTTCATTCCAATTCAATTCTTATTCAATTCTGTTTCAAACAAGATTGTTCGATGCCTTCGTTGAGATATCTGTTTGATCTCTTTAGCGTTTCATTTTTTCTGCAAGTCTGTGTGCTCGATGCCTTTGATTCTTGAATGAAATAGACAACTTTCAGGACATTCTCACTTATTTGTTTCACTTTATATTCCATGAATCTTGATTTTCTTTTATATTTTTATTAATTATGATGTCCCTTCTGTTTATATTAAAGAAAAAAGACAGAAATAGTTTCTGGTTGACTGTAATCCATTAATGTACTAGAGGGATTTTGTCTCGCCAATTGAAATTCGTTGAATCAATAATATCAGAAAATAAGTAAGAGATCTAATAATTATGTTGATTGACTGAATTTGGGTTCTTCAAAATTATTTCTGAATTATTTTTGATGGGGGGCAGATTATATATTGTATTGCAATTGAATTGAAAAACTGAAGAATCATGATTTCCTTGTATATTTTACAATGATATGACAAATATTTTGTGCGATATATTCCTCGAGGTATCATAGTTCTTCAATAATTTGATACTTGTTATTGGATAGGCGTTTGTCATAACAAACACTGAGAGTCATCTTGTCATCATCCTTTTTGTTTTCAAAACCGAATTATCTTAATATTTCTTCCGAACAATTAAATTGACCGCACAATTAGACCAGCTCCCATCGTTTTTTGAATTAGATATAATATTGTCAACCTTTAACTTGCAATGAGAAAATACACAAGGGGCCTTTTTTGCCTTCCCCCTGACCGGCGCAAAAAGAGAGTACTATGATTTAAATTATCTTGAATTTGATCTCCACATGACTCACATTTTAAGCAATGTTATTTTTTTTATAATACGACCATCTTTTGGGAGTAAATAGCCAGGGTATCCATTGTTGTCTGAAAGGATTCTCACCAGTTTAAATTTGAAGATTAGTAAGCTAGAAGAGTCTTCTTTCACAAATGATTCTGTTAGGGCTTCAAAGTAGCTATAGTCAGAATATTAAAGAGAGATATGAACAAGGTATGACAATTCCTTTCTGAATTAAGAGAAAGAGAGACTGACTTTCACCAATACTATGTGTATATTTGGAATCATTTATAGTTTCCACTATAGCCGTGAATATATTATTACTTTTTGACGTAATTCCTCTATAGTTGAAAACGTATTTAGATTCCCGATATTCTGAAGATACGGTGGATCACTATCGGATAAATTTGATAAGGATTTTGAACGGTTTATAAAACTTGTCTATAAATATATCTCACAAAAAGTAAATTCTGTGTCGAGGTAGTCAGCAACTACATTAAGTTTATAATTGTGACGGTGAGCTATTTCCTTTTAAACTAGAGATTTCCACAGCAATTTCCGCAGGTGTAATTTCTCCATCCAATTCAAGTTAATGATTTGATTTTAAAATGTAGTTGAATCCAATTCTTTAGTAGTTAAAGAAGTAACTAATTTAACATGTATACAAATGATAACAAATATGCCATTCTAAGATGAATTTCTTCCAGCTGTATTTCTGCTATTTCTAAAGGTTATAATC